TGATTGGATAGAGCAAGACTTAGGTTATTCAGATCACAGTAAATAGTGTTTTAGTGGGCATTAGTTTATGGTTTTGAAGGGAAAATTTATAATCCTAGAGATCAGGGTTAGTGATTACAATAAGTGATGGTAGAATATTCTGATGAGTTAAATCCTTATTTATTGAATATTACTTTTATGTTTATGATATTCACACAATGTACATAAATGTGGTAACTGGCTACTTAATGATTTCCAAATAATAATCATGATACGTCTTAAATAAAAACATTATTACCATTATCATTGATAGTAAAACATGTTTTTGTTATATGATTATAAATTTATTCAATTTAAACAAATCAAAGGGGTATTACTGCATATTTAAAGAAAAAACAAAATAAACTATAGCTGCATAGTCTTCTCAACATCAGTGATTCACTAAACAGTAATGTTCAAATTTCACTAACATCGCCCAGCTCTATGTGTGATAACTGGTTTTATGACCACATTTTACCACTCACGGCATGTCATGTTGGTTTGTGACATTTGCTTATATCACTGTTCTGTACTAAAAATTACATCTATCAAACACAAAACATTTTATTTACATGGCACAAACATTTCGAAATGCACTTATCTCTTCAGAGGAATCTTAAAATAGTGTTATAAAGATATTTAATAACTACATCTATAGTATCATTAATCAACAGTTTATTTATTTATTAAGTAAAGTAGTAAATGGAAGAATAAAACAAAAACTAAAGATTACAGATTTCACTGAAGATGGAATAAGTGTATATCAAAATGTTAGAACCTTGTAAATAATATGTTTTGTGTTTTGTCAACCATCTTCATCTTTATTATTAGACTTCATTTTCCCCATCATGAATCCATCGTCAGTGTTATAACCAGATGGTATGGGACAAACACCCCATGACATTTCAGATGGCATGAAAAGATTGTTTTAAGAACTAAAAAAACAACCCTTGATATCCAGTTTCTTACAGAATGTAGATAACATAAACTAACACTATCTTTCTTCCATTCCAAACTCCAGAACAGCTGCATACACCACCTGCCAACGCTAATTTCTAGAGAAAGAACTTAAACTGAAACATAAGCACTACCGACAACATCTATCTGACCTAGAATGCCAAAACCAAGATTGTTAAAAGTACGTTTTGTATATTGCTTTTGTCCATTTGACGTGCTTAAATCCATAAGATCTTATAACCAGACAGGATAAAGTCCAAAATAGAAAACTTCAAAAACTATAACTTTATTCACTTTCCTCCTCAGGTTTTAATCCTGATAATGTAATATTTAATCTGAGTGATCTTCAACTCAATGATATTTATAAACAGCTGTAATCAAAGAATTTACTTTTAGCATTCCAGCTTTCAAACTCAACTATGCTAATTGCACTTATAATTTTAAAAAGACTTACAGAACCCTTCCTTTCCATAGTTCACTAAGCCAAACAACAATACAGTGCACAACCAAACTACAAACATAGCTCACAAGCTCTTAAAACTGTCAAAAAACAATTATTATTGTCACTAAGCCAGCCAAAGGTAATGGTATGAAATAACTGATATCCCCAAAACCTGCTGAAGGGTCACCTGTTTTAACCACTTGCACCACTAAATAATAATTTTTGTCTTTCAGTCAAGTCAGTAGATGTTAAAATGACATCACATAAAGGATGCTTAATGTTGCAATTTGTTATCCAAAACTTTTGGGGGAGAAGATAAGATCCTACATTTTCCCGAGACCCTTAAAAGTCGAAATATTATTTCTGAAATGACTTTAACAAATTGCTCCATGAAGCACTAAACCCAGTATTCTTTATGGCCCAAAATTCACAGAACTGGATACCCTCTCCATCCTATTCTCTAAGCTGTAGGCTTCTGCAATTACAACCTCTCCAACTTTATTATTCCTATTCTTAAACTCCTCACCTTGAACGAAGTTATTATTATCAACTTTTTTTTACCTTTGCTTCTGAAATCTATAAACTTCCCTCTGCTAATCAATATGCTATGGCCAGCTTGGATATTGAATCTCTCTATGCTAATATTCCCCTTGATGAAACTTTGAATTTAATCATGGGTCCTCTCTTTCCTTATAATATTGAGCAGTATCTTAGTTTCACAAATAATAATTCTTGGAACTTCTTTTCCATGGGATACCTACTGGGCCAAATGATAGCCAATAGTTTTCTATGTTACAATGAATGCTGTTACAACAATCAAGTCACGTCTCTAAATTCCATTCTTACCTTAATTCTCAACACCCCAATATCAAGTTCACATCCAAATTCGAAGGCAGAGTTCAGTCTCAGGATGGAATGTCCACAACTTAGAAAAGTGAAAATGCTAAAATGAAAAATCTGACTTTTTAATTTCAATACTCAAAACTATTGGACAATTGGCTACTATAAACATATGCTTACTTTGAAACATTCAGACAAACATTTAACGATATGCAACTTCGGAAAAACTTGGAGATATTGTAGACCAGCATGTATGTATTAATAATATAGTTGATTGGCAGTTTTCTCAACTGAAGTATGCATCACATCATGGACATGTGTTGTTGTTGAACATGCATGACTTTCGTAAGTGTTTTATGCACAACTTATGTGCCAATTTAGTGATTATCCATTCAAAGTAATTCTCGTACACAGTCACGAAAGTAATCAAACTCAATCTAGATATATATTCACTTTATTTTTGTCTGTAATAAGCCAAAACTTGTGAGTGACTTAGCTAATAACAATATAACTTAGTTGTAAGTTCTAAAACTAAACAGTCTAAAGTTAACATTAACAACAATGTTATCATAAGCATGATAAGGTTAGGTACTAAGGAGGCTTACCTAACTGCATGCTTAGTAAGCCTGTAAGGTCTTAATGCCAGTAATACAGCCTAACCTGAAAATCCTGGACTAGATCTAATAGTATTTTAATATAAATCTACAGCATAATTCCATTATTTTTGTAGTGCCTAGTGGTAGTTGAGTTTTTTAAGAATATGTAAAATTACATTGGAAATCTTTTGCAAAAGTGAATTTCAGGCCCATGTGATGCTTCCACAGTTAGCTAATTTTTACCTATAAAATATCAACTTTTTTCATAGCTGAATCTACACAGAAATACAAATATGAATAATATAACAATATAAAATTATTACAAGAATTTGTTGATAATTATTTTATCCATCTGGATTTAGAATAAAGAATTATGGAAGCCTGAGATCTTGAGTCTCAATTCTGTTTATTACATTTCATGAGCCAAAGTATTGCTTCATGAATAACTTGGTTGATGTATATGATCTTTTAATAACATAGTTTCCTGATTACAATAGGCTCTGATTACATTTCAGAGTGTAAAAGCTGTTCAGCTTCAAAGAGGCTTCACTCTGCTGCTATCCCTGTGAAGAAAATGATTCTTTACCATTCCTAGATGTCAGGATTACCAATGAAGGTAAACACTTTTCAATTTTTATCATAAAAGTACTTTTACAGGCCTTTATACCAATTTTAGTAGTTTTATCCCCAACTTCTTCAAATGTAATCTAATCATGTCACTGTTAAACATAATTTTTAATCTTTGCCTGAATTATTATATTTTACCTGGAGAAAATACACTTCTGCACAAACACCTGTTAAATAATGGCTATCCAATTGATTTGCTAACAAATATTACATGCAAGTTTCTAAAAAACAAATTCCAACCACCAGCCAATGTGCACACCATCTCCAAATTCCCCTCATTACCTCCCTTCCTTTTATGGGTTCACAATCCTTACAAATTAAAAAACAACTCTCCTCTTTAATAAAAAAACTTCTTATCTACTCTCAAATTCAGCTTAGACTAATCTACAGACCTAGCCTCCTCATTTAACACTTATTTCAAGATATAGATCAACTACCTAAACTTCTAAAAACTCTACGTTCATGGCTTGTGTAGTGATTGTAAAGTCAGTTACACGGCAAAACAAAATGCCACTTGAAAACTAGAATCTGTGAAGATTTAGGAGTATCAAACAGAACCAACCATCCACTACTTAAACCCTACAAAGTATCTACAAAGAAATGACAATTTCATCTTAAAATCTAGACACAGATAAGTGAACAAAATAGCTACTCCAGTCAAGGAAGATGAATATCTAAAATTTGCAACATAAACAAAATGAAATTTTTTAAGAATGTTGATAAGTAATGTAAAATAAAAAACTTCATTAAAGAGATGAAATGTTCTCCATATAAATGTATAACATCATACCATATGATACTATAGTTGTAGTTAATAAATATCTTTGTAACACTATTTTCAGATTTCACTGAAGATGAAATAAGAGTATTCCAAAACATTCAAACTTTGTAACTAAAATATTTCATGTTTGGTCAACTGCCTTCATCTTTATTATTAGACTTCATTTTCCCCATCATGAATCCATTGCCAATGGTATATGTAATGTTGATGTGTGATACCTAGTTCTGTGACCATAATATACCAATCATGGCATCTGTTACATTGGTATGTGACACCTGGTTATATGATTATGTTGTACCAACAATGGCATCTATTATATTGATATATGGTGCCTGGATATGCAATCATATTGTACTAACAATGACATCTGTCATGTTGATGTCTCATTACTTGTTTCTTTATCGTGATGTACCAACCATACCCTCACCACTGTTCTTTTATATATTGTTAGTTGTAAGTTGATTACATGAAATCCACTAAATATTTACTTTCCAATCTAAGAGTTAGGGACAATATCTATCAAAATCTGAGAATACATATACACATATATCTTATAAACTTTGAATTTGCTGTCTCCACAACTAAAGTTGAATGTGAAAACTTTTTCTTTTTATCTTCTTACACATGTTCAACATTTATTCTACCAAACATTTCAAATTGAGACTCGCTTCGAGCTGACCTGTTTTACAAATGACAATGACCACTTTGAACAGAACAATTTTTGTGTAACATACACCACGTTCCTTCTTGCACAGAAACAAATGAACTTCAACATCAACGTCAACTTTAACAGGAGATATAGTTCTAGGCTCTACAGGCACTGATAACTGGATAGGAATATTAATATCAGCATTCATTTGAAGTGCTGTCAATTTTGATGAATCTGTTTTGAAAAATTTCAAACTAGTTACAGCATATGATAGACATACATATTGCTAAAAACTGTTACATATAGTTGTTGTTGGTTCTGTCTAAAAATATATCATATAAACATTAACATGAAATTTGTGGGTTGTAACAATGAAAATACATAGTAACTATTAGATTGAGAACGTCAAGTTCATTAGTCTACCAAATACCAAACTTTAAGGTTTTTTGCATTGCACTAATGTATATTTTAAATATCACTTTTCATCTTTACTGAAGTTAAATGGGCCAATACTTTCATTTCATTATCTGCATGGCACAATAAGAAATTAACTTCACATTTCTTCCCTTTGAGTATCTACAATAAAATGACTATTTTATCTTAAAAGCTAGACACAGATAAGTGAACAAAATAGCTACTCCAGTCAAAGAAGATGAATATCTAAAATTTGCAACATAAACAAAATGAGATCTGATGAGTAATGTAAAATAAAAAACTTCATTAATGAGATGAAATTTTCTACATATAAATGTATAACATCATACCATACCGAATAAAACAAAAGATCCAACTATAATCAACTAACCATCTCAATTTTTAATACTTACTATTGTAACACAGCATTCAGAAAATTTATCTGTTTATATTCTTATCAAAATTATATGTGCATTATTTCAATGCTATTATTAGTGTTTCAAGAGATTGGAATTCAAATTCACAATTTAGCAATCACAATAATAAGCTTTAATTTTAAAACAAAACCTATTGTTCGCTTTGGGCTGTACTCATAATGTTGAAATATTTGTCTTCTACAGATTTTGGATAAAGTTGCATGAGGGGTACCTGCATGGGCATCCCTAATTTTGAATGATTTATTAGTGAGAAGGCAGCTAGTCAACAGCACACACTGCTAACCCTTAGGCTACTTGTGTCCAACTGCATACATATTCACACATGTAGTGGGATTTAACCATCACTCTTATAGCACACCCATAGTCCCAAAATATGAAACAGGTTTTTGCAGCAACAGGATGAGAACCATGAACTTCAAACCTTGATTGTTTGGTGCAAAACTACATAATGGGCTATCTGTGCTCTGCCCACTGTAGGTATTCAAACCTAATATTGCTAGTCCATGATATTTTATGTACAAAACTGTCAAAATTATTTTAATTAATTCTTAATTTGCTAGTATTTATACTCACCTCTATACATAAAGTGACCCCATAAAGTTAGTCTTAGTTTTTCATCTGTAAGATAATATTAGTAAGCCTTTGAAAAATTATTTTAACATTCTCTTGTAATGTTACATGCTGTGCCAATTAAAATACCTGAAAAATTAAGTTGCCATTTGTTTGGAGCTTCATCATTAATAAACACTCCAGAAGCTAGATGAATATCCAACATGAGTATCAGAACTCCACCTTGCTTCATCTCTACAGTTGGAATATGTATAATACATGCAGTGTCCCAAAAAGATGAACTGGTAAAAGTGAAGTTATCTTGTAACTTTAGGTGCTCACAACTGTCTGTTTCATCAGAAACAATCAAAACTGGATGCTAAAACAGAAAATAAAAGGCTTATAAAAATAATTCAATCATTTTAATGTTAAAATGATGTAAAAGAGGTATATCTAAAGTTGTTTTGTCATATAACAAGCCCAGGAGTATTATCAGTTAGACATAATTATGAAAAATCTGAAAGTTAGTAGAAAAAAATAAAAAATGTCCCAATGCTTAAAACATTCATTTGTATCAAGTGGAAAATAAAACACTGATTTAAAAATTATAACAGAGCCCAAATCTTGGCAAAGTTTTTTGCAATAAAATAAATGAAATTACACCTAAAACCAGCATCTTCTGATGGATGCTTCTTTAGCTAATGAGTTTGAAATGCATCCTGAAAGCATGGGAATTAGTTAACACTATTATCCAGTTATACTAGCTATGATACTGATAACACAGAACAAAGATTAAGTGAGTGGGTTTGGTACATTCCTTGGAAAAATCAAAAGATAAAATCTAAATAATCTTTTAAACTCATAACATAGAATGAAATTATTAAATAAATACTGCAGTGAACTTTCACCATGTTTTTCATCTTCTATTTCACAAGCTTTTGATAGGTGAGCTTTTATGTCTAATAATACATACAAAAACTCACCTGTCAAAGATTCAGGTACTGGGACCCAGAACTTAAGAAACAAAAATATTAAAAAGTTCTGGACAAAGTTCATTTATATTTAGTAAAAGATATAGTTTTTAAATACATTTAAATTTATGTTTTTGAACAAAAATATAACATTCAAAGTTACCAACTTTAACCCTTGGTCAGAACGTGAAAAAAAAATTCATATCTAAAATTTATAGGTAAGTGTTTATGTATTGTAAAACATGCAGAAACATTTAAATTAACCACCATCAAGAGACATGCAACAATCAATTTCAAGTGCCACAATAAACTAAAGTAGTTATTGTATTGTATCTCTTAAATTTAGACTTAACCGATGAAATACAACTGAATAGACTTTCATTTTTAAGTTTTATTCTGTCACATATTTTGTATAAAATGTACAACTACTAAGCAGTAAAAAGCCTAAATGGTAAGTTAAACTAGTGCATATGCTAAATTGGCTATGAGAAATCTCCAGCTTTAACCTTTAAGATCATCTATGAACTTTTTCTATAATTAAAGTGTTAAAAACAAAAAGCAAGTTTGATAATTACTCTGCAGAAGAATTATTCTCTTTAAAATATAAACTTTCTTGCTTAAAATGGAAATATTAAAGGTATAATTTTCCTATACTGAAAATGTATTTCCCCAATTGTTGGAATATAGTAAATGCAAATCATCATGCATCATCTCTTATCCAATAGTAGCATGACATGCTCATATGATGCATGTGACTTTACACTCCTCTACCGAACTATCACTTCGAAGCTTGGCAGAAGGTATGAGCACCAGAGAAGTGGGGAGGAAGGGTGTTAATTGTTAGCGGTGGTAAGTACCTATTGGAAATACATTTTCAGTATAGGAAAATTATAATTTCCGATAAGGTTCTTACCTTCTGTCACAAGATTAGCTAGAATCCAACATTAAAAAGGGGGAGGGACTGGTGCAAGGGAATGAAAGAAGTACCCACGAAAATATCCAAAGGATACCACTGACAATGTGAGATATAGATCTGAAGATAAGAAGGGGAGAACTGCACCACTTCTGTACCAGGTATACTCTATGTCCATGTGTAGATTGTGTAATGCATAAGGGTGGAAATTGTGAGGTGTAGAATGGCTAGGGCACAGTGGACCGTACTTGGTAAATCAACTACATACAAAACCTCCTTGCTGACGGTAAAATGAGGATCATACTATCTTCACCTCAAACCAAGAATTGGGGGAATAAGACTCACACCAATATCTGGGTATGCAACAAGGATCATCATCAATGTATTGATCCAGGAATTGACATCCAGTATTGTCTATCGCATGTAATCAATCCCCCAATTATGGCACAGGTTGGCACCCTCCACAAACAATAATATCCCTATAATAATAGAGGAATAGTCGAGAATAGCACCAAACTATTCCACATACTCCTACTGTGACCAAAGACATGGACAGAGCAATTGGGTGAGGAAGATATCAAACCCATACTCAGGTGAGGACTTATGTTGATTTGTGATTCTAATACAAAACCTCTACGCTAGGAACCGACTTACACACAAAAGTAGGACAAGGTCTTCCAATCAAGGGGGTGAAGTGCAATTGTGATGGCTCAACTCCAGTGTTTATTTAAAAGAAAGCGGGAGGCCACGTCAACCAGAAGGTGATGGTTTGACTCCAGATGTTGTGTAAAAAAAGCGGGAGGCCATGTCAACCAGAAGGTGACGGCTCAACTCCAAATGTTGTGTAAATGTTAGTAGGAGGCTACATCCTCAATGAAGGTGATGGATCAATTCCAATGGTTGTGTAAATATTAGTAGGGGACCACATCCTCTGCAAAGGCAATGGTTCAATTCCAATGGTTGTGTAAATGTTAGTAGGGGGCCATGTCCTCTTTGAAGGCAATGGCTAGACTTCAGTGGTTGTGTAAATGGTAGTAGGGGCCAAATCCTCTGTGAAGGCGATGGCTCAACTCCAGATGTTATGTAAATGTTAGTAGGAGGCCACGTCCTCTGTGAAGGTGACGGCTCAACTCCAATGGTTGTGTAAATGTTAGTAGGAGGCCACATCCTCTGTGAAGGTGATGGCTCAACTCCAGTGTTGGTGTTTAAATGTCATCAGGAGGCCATGTCAACCAGCAAGGCAATGGCTCAACTTCTCTGGAGTACACATCGCATTTACACCAGCAGAACACCACTGCCCTACTCTCAACTGAATGGTTCAAACCTTTCCCTTGTGGATTGCATTCAGGAGGATGCCTTCATGGTCAACCACCCCAGGAACTTGGAACTGGAAAGGAATCCCATACTCCATTTGAGGAAAAGAGGGTGACAATGCGATGGAGAGTGTGGAAGAACATCACCCCCGGAGACAGTGCAATGGGTGACCATGAAACCTTCTTTAAAAATCAGACCATATTGAGTTATTCACTTGAGGCATGGCAGGGATGTGCAGCAATCTCCTTCTGCTTTACCCATGTAATCCATGGGTGGTAGGGTCCAGAAACAGGCATGTTTACAAAGCAACTTACTGCAAGGTAATTAACCATCAAGTGATCTTGTGGAACACCCTATCTCAACAGTGAGTGAAGCCATGAATGAAAGAGCAGAATACAACAAGGCTGACAGTGCAGATTTAGAGTTAGAGAATACCTGGTCAGGCATCACTTACCACAGAGTGGGATCCATAAAGTGAGAAATCAATCAAGGGCCCTTGAAAGGAAAAGTATTAATATAAATTTATCCAGTCAAAGTCATACTGAATTGGGAAAAATGGTATAGTCCACATGCCCTACTGAAGAACTTCCTCTAATTGGTGATGAAGATGAGATGCCAGAGAAAAGATAAAGAGTCAAATTTGATGAGAAGACACCTGGAACAAAGTACAGGAGGACAACGTAAGAAAGGAATCAGCCATTTGAAACAAAAGTCGAACCTAATTGGTGAGGGTGGGAGGAGAAAGATCACAAACAGAGGATAGTAACCATGCAATATAGAAGTGGGAATGGGCACCACGGATGGAAGCCATGCGGGCAATACAACACTGATGAGTACATACAGGATATAGAAGGCTATCTGGATCAGGTGGAGGACAAGGTGGGAAATGAAAAGAAGGTCACTCGATAACCAGAAATCGAGGAGATAGAGGAACCCCAATAGAAAAAGCAAAGTAAGAATTCTGCGATACAAGTAACAGAGTGCCTAACAGCCACAAGTACCCAGCCCAGAGACCAATGACAGAAAACATTTCACTGATCCTAATAAACTTCCATGGAGGAAGGGCCGATGGAATGGGCCAGAAGGGAGGTTACACTTCAAGATAATCCTGATCTCCTCACCAAGGACCGAATAAAAACCAAGTGTGAAGAAGAAAGACATGAAGAACGGGATGAAGCACTGATGACTGAGTTTGTCAAAGCAAGGAGGGAGACAGGGGAAGGGGTAGCAGAGGGGAAATGTGGAACTGGAGAAGGTGTGGAAATCATGACAGAGCCAACCAATAAGGAGCAATCAGAAGGACCTGACACGATGAAGTATGGATGATCTAAATCACCCAGAGTAGGAATCAAATAGTAGGATAACATATAGCAAATGATCAGTCCAATCCTGACTGAAAGTATTGAAAGACAGGGCAAGCAGATGATGGATCATAGACCAAAACAGAGAGAGTTTGTGGTTGAAAGATGTGGCAAATGCATTGATGTGAGGAATACCCTACTGGAGGCAAAGCCACTGAATAACCACTGTAATGTAAATCCAGACAAGGAGAAGCATGGCACCTTCTGACCTGTCCAATCACCAATGCAGATCGTTGGCTATGGTAGGAGGAAGGGTAATAAGAGCCTGCAAAGGAATCCATGCAAGAGGTCATTTGTCATGAAGAGCTCACTAAAGAGCCCTCGTTTGTGCCCGACCTAAGAGGATAAAGGTAGTCCTGGAAGACCACATCGCCAAAAGTGATAGAACCCTGCAAGCTGTAAGAGAAGAAGTAGTAAGAGCATGGAACTGAAAGCTCTAATGAACAAAGTCGAATGAGCAAAAGCTCAAATCACTCAACAAAAGCATACGAGGCCAAAGCAAGCCCAAAGGGTAGTATGCAGAGCTGATACATTTCCCCTCAAATAATAAGTCAAAGATATGGTCACAACATCCAAGCTAACGTTATATGTATGAAAACAGTAGTGACAGCCATCTTGGCTATCTGTAAACCTGGAGAAAAAGCTAACCTGAGAGTGAGACACAACTCCATGGTAAAATGAGGGAGATGGAGAAAAGGAATGAGGCGGGACAATCTGTGACACACTGCCAGTCTCCAGTTGTTATGGGGACAACAAACATCTAGGAATAAAACCTGGAGAAAGATGATTCACAGTTTCAAAGGCCAGTTAAAACAGAAAGTCTTAAAGAGTCTCTGCCCAACAGTGGCAAGTAATAAGATCCTGAGGCAGAGGGAAGGTAAGGGATTGGAGGGCAAGTCCATCTGAAAGAACCCTAATAACCAAGTGATCTGCAACAAAATATATAACAAAAGGAGAACAAAGTCGCGCAATCAAGCTCCCACTGGACCGGAACTCCCCAAGTAATCACTGGTACTGACCACATCCTGCCGATCTACGTCGAAGAAAATGACATGATACAGAACTCCTGGAAGAAGGAACAGGTAAAGACTGAAAGGACTAAGATGGCGAACAGGAATAGGGGCTTGTTGTGACCAACCAACAAGTAACCCTAGAAGAAAAGGGTAAAAGTGTTGATGCAGGAATAGCACTCATAATTCCAAAGTGCCTGGGATATGGTAAAAAATACCACCTAAGAAAAGAAGATCCCAACAGTGGAGAAACTACATGTGGAAGGCGAGAGCCGAGGATAACAAACAAGCCAAAGTGGAGTTAAGATGTGAGAGGCTGTCCCTTGAAAAACCCTCAGAATTTCAGTGCATAGCCTCAGAAAGGAGATGTATGGTAGATAAATACAGTAGAAGGGAAATAAGGGAAAACAAAGGCATGGGAGAATGCACCAGAAAATCAGGGAGTGTCCTGCATACAGGCAAAATAGACCCAAAGCATGCTGGCACCCTCAACCAATTGGGAAGCAAAATGTGCAGCACGAACTCTAATATCCGGGGAAAGGGATAAATTATCACATACCTGAGAAATATAGCCAAAAATGCCATAACAGACCTAGCTGATTCTGCAGGTGCAGTATAGGGAGACACGGTTATCAATTCTTCACCAGAACAAACAGGTTCAGATTGTTCATGATGCAACATTACGAGAAGGTGTTTGACCCATGTAATGATAAATCCAATGACAGCCACCCCCACACACAGCAATGGCAAAAGATTGTTCATAGTAGGTATGAAACCCAAAGTGGTCACATTAACCTCAGAATTTATTGGAAATACAAAAGCAAACAAAATGTTTGATAATTAATACCACATGCAAAATAAAATAAAATAAAGACTGGAAAATAACTGAAAATAAATTTGTCAGCTGTATAAGCAAAAACGAGTAGAAAACCACCTCAGCAATAAAACTGACGATGAGCACACAAGAGCAAAATTTGAAACATCTGAACACGAGCACTGCCATCACATGAGCATGTCATGCTACTATTTGTTAAAAGATGATGGATGATGATTTGCGTGAGAAGACACATTGGAATATGGTAATTCCAACAAGGCGGAAGCACAAGGCTTGTGGCATACTTAGAGAAAAGTTTGATTATAAGACGCAGCCCTGAACGAAAATAGCTAATCTTGTGAGAGGAAACAAGTACTGTATAGGAAACATGTAGAAATCTTATAATGATATTATGAATAAAAAAATGGTACACAAGTTGGTTGACATATCTCTTACCTCAGAAACAGTGTCATCAACTAAATTTATGACCTTTATGACATGATTGTTTGTATCAGCCACTAGAAGTGTTTCTCCTCTATCTGTAACACAAATGCCTCCAGGTTCATTAAACTCTGCCTCATTAAATCTAAATCTAGAATTATAGCCTGCTTTTCCCATTCCAACAAGTGTAGTGCATGTCTTAGCTGATGGGTTAATGACTTTCACCTAGAAACAAAAACAACTGTAAACTGAGTACCTGCATCATACTACTAACTATATACTTTAATTACAACTCTTAAGTGCTATTATATTAAATATCCACGTATAGTGCAACCACGTATATGGTGCCGAGTATATTTTCTTCCCTCACATACTAGAAAAAATCATTATACTCATGTATAGTATGCAGAGCAATTCTAATAGCTGATTGGCCTTTGTGTAGAGAGTGGTTATATTGTTATGTTGATTAGTAACTGTACGTGCATGTGTGAGTGAATACCAACTAATTAACCATAATACATAATGAGCAAACAATGGCTAAATTTATGATCACCTGTAATTTCTAAATACGTGTTATTAAACAATGCCCTGTACATAAAGCATATGAGAGGGACTGTTAATGTGAACGTATTGTAGTATAGGATATCAAAATCATCTTATGACCCAGTGCAAAAACTCCAAAAATCAAAAGGTTTAGTGCAATTAAATTTTAACTGGCCATTGTCAGCAAATAAATACCAGCATATAAATGATGCAGTTCTTATGGTTGACAAAATGAACCCATTATACTTATACGAATTGAAGCCTAAAAGACAAATATCAGAAGATCAGACTTTTTTTTTATTCCTCTACCATGTTGTTATTTCTTTGACTTCCAGTAACCCAACAGTGACAAACGATGATTACGTCAGAATATAAGATATGCCGAGGCAGCATTCGGACTGAAAATTTCACCTGAAAAATACTGTTCCTTCGTGTAGTTAATACTTCGTATTTGAGCCCAAAAATTTTGGAAAAAGTGCACACTATACATAGATATTTACAGTAGTTCCAATGGATGTATAAGTTATATTAGTGAACGCATGTATCATCTGAATTTGTGGGTGGATATCTTAGTTGTGAATGCATCACTTATACTGGTGATCAATGTGTCAGTTATATTATTAATTGCATGAGTTAAAACATTAGTAGATGAATATTCTGCAGTGTTACATTAGTAGTGGAACAAGACAGTTATGTAGATAATTATATGTGAATGTTACATAGCCAACTGGTTGTGCATGTCAGTTGCACTACCAACAATGTTTGGTATTTGTGTTAATTAGTAGAGCATTAATTTATAAGTTCAATAAAATTTATACTATTGCTAAAATACATACATGCACTGATATTTTGGAGAGTTTATATTATTACTTTTTCAGATTATTGTTAAGATTTAAAGATAACCAGTTCCACAGATATACATTTATGTGTTTCATATTCTTAGTCTTTTATTACAACTAAACTAAAATGTTTATCTTAAAACTATATTTTCGACAGGATGGCCTTTTTTTCAGATTCTATATTCTACATACCAAAGGATTCATATTTCAGCAAAAACATTTCATTTAATTTGTTTAGCAAAATTTAAAAACAATTACGTCTAAGAGAGGAACTGCCTTTTTTTCAAGTTTAAAGTATCTTAGACTACAATATGGTATTTAATTTATTTAAAGTTCTTTAATTGAACAACTACATTCAAACAGATTTTTTCTTTCAGGTTTAATGATTTAGATCACAAACATGGTATTTAATTTGCTTAGTGTACTATATTTCATGCATAAAAATTTTGTAATATTAACTGAACCAAGTAGCACGTGTAAAACAATATTCTGATAACAATATAATGCTTTCAAGATTACCGTTTCCCACTAAAATCTGCATGCCCATAGTTAGCTCATACAATAACACACTTATATCAATATTCTGATAAAAATGCTACTTTTTTAAGAATGGTGCTTCACGCTAATAGCCTGCATGCCCAAATTAAGTGGCATGCTCCAGTTCAAGCATCACCAAAAAATTCCTCCAATCTATTTTAGTATCAATGGAAATGTCTTCCAAAAAATAAATTGGAAGCTTTTTATTTTAAGCCTGAAATAAGTCATAAACCCAAACTTGGTGACTCTTACAACAATGTTTTTGCTTTTACGGTGAATATTTTGTAATATTTTAATATGAGAAATTTTTACAATAAGCAAGAATATTTTCATTATGCTGAATACATATCTTTTCCACTTAAAAAA